AGTTATGAATGCTTTTTTAATTATCCTATATGATCATCATATTTATAGAATATACATATGATCTATACACATATGATACATATATATAGAATTTCTGTAATTTTATTTAATTATTAATTGTGATTAAATGAACATGAATATCATTTCTTATTTTGAATTAATTATATAGTTGTATTAATAGTTTACGAAAAAATATAAACATATAATATTGATTAAAAATAATTAAAACTGATTAAAAATTAATAAAATATTTATTTTACTTTTTTTGTGTAATTAATATTTATATTGAATAGTATCGACGGTTCTTATAATTCTAGATAAACTATTTTAATTTAATTTAAATTATTATAAATTAAGTTATACTATTATATTACACACGATATTAATTCGTTTATTAGGAAGAATTAAACCGAGGTAAACCAAACTGGGAACATCTGACAGATGAATTGCATGTTTTATTGACAGTCGAGGATACTGAAAATCGTGCCACTTTGAAACTTGCCAGAGCTGTAGAAGAAGTCAAGAAACTCCTTGTTCCCGTGGTGAGAAAGTTCCTATTATTAACTATAATATTTAAATTTATTGTAATATTTTTTCTTTAATTTTAATTGATGCATTATATTTAATGAATATTTAAAAAAATAAATATAATAATAATAATAATATATTAATCTTTCAGATTATATCATGATTTATTTAAACAATATTGATATATTTCTTATTAATTATGTTAATTGTTAGCAGGCTGATGGAGAGGATGAGCTAAAGAAACGACAATTAATGGAGCTTGCTATTATCAACGGTACTTACCGAGATTCTAACACAAAAGTTGCAGCAGCTACTGGTATATATCTTAAAATTTATTTTTTTTACCTTATAAAATAAAATATAACACATCTATATAATACGTTAGTTTAATAATAACATAATAAAATAGATATTTTAGGGACATACAAATAATTATACAAATTGTTGATATATTCATGGAATATCTTTGAAGAATCAAGAAAAGTCAAAATAAAAATTAATATACAAAAATATCTTAAGTCTTATTTATTAAATTATAAGCAATCAAAATTTGCGTTAACAAAATAGAGATAGAAATAAGTCATCTTCGTTGCATCGTTATCTCGCTTGATTTTTTATTTAATACAAAATTGTTGATACAATTAACTTATAACTTAATAAATAAGCTTTAACTGATATTTTTGTATACTAACTTTTGTATTTATTTTAATTTTTAGAACCGACTCCTCAAAGATGAATATATATTTATATTAACCCTCTTTATACTATATATATACAATATATATATGCTTTCTTATTCCTTACAAATAAATTATCATTATTTTTTCATCATAATCATACATAAAAATGTATTCAGTTTTTATTTATAACTACGAGTCATATATTATCATATATAATCATATTTTAGCTTGTGACGAAGAATGGAGACGTGTTGCAGCGGCTGCGGCAGAAACGCAGCGACTTCTTCCAGGCTTGGCCACACCTATGAGGACGCCCAGTGCTCCGTTGGGAGCACCGTTAATACTCTCTCCACGGATATCTGTTCCAACGACCGCAGCGTCTCTTTTGAATGGTTCCGGCCCACCAGGATCGCTCCTTTCTGCCGGTGATCCACATGGTTTAATTTACACACCATATGCTGATTATGCCAACTACGCAGCCTTAGCAGCATCGCCTCTTCTCACGGATTACACAGCAGCTGATCATTCTGGTGGGTTGTTTGCACGCTGATCTTAGTTGCAACAACGTTTTTCATGAATATTTTCTTGATTGCTATTATTATTATTATTATTACTATTATTACTATTATTATTATTATTATTACTATTATTATTACTATTACTATTATTATTATTATTATTATTATTATTATTATTATTATTATTATTATTATTATTTTTATTATTATTATTACTTATTTTTCCTTATTTGATCTCTTCTCGATCTTCTAGCAAAAAAAAAATAGAGTTTGCGAAAAAAAAAATAAATAAAGGAAAGAGATAAAAAAGGAATAATTCAGAGAAATGAAAAACGATATAATATATTTAGATTTTTTATCAATAATTTTAAAAATATTAAAATTTTTAATATTTTTTTGTGGAGAATCTTCTTTCTTTTATCTTCTTTAAATATACTTAAGTAATTGTACATTTATATATTTTGTAAAAGAAAAAAGTTGTTGTTAAAATTTTATTTTATATTTAATTCCATATGATATGATGATATGATTTTGCATACAGAGTATATCCTATTCAATTTTAAATTTTCTATTGATCTAAATAAATAATTGAAAAGTTAAATAGTAATAAATAATATCAAATTGAATGTTGAAAATTAAAATTATATTTTTCAATATATATTTAGAAAAAATGAAATATTAATTTATATAAAAACAAACTTATTAAATATTTCACATATTTATTATGAAATTATATATTTTTATACTTTTTGTTCTTAACTTTTACATAAACAATTATATAACATTTTATTAAATTAAATATTAAGATGTTTAAATCTTTCAAATTTACTAGAGTTCAATGCCTATGAAGAAAAGATATCGTGAAAAGTGTTTTAAAAAAAATTTTTTAAAAATTAGAAGCGTAACAATGGTTACTCTGTATAATAATGTTAACATATATATATATATA